CTGATATATTTAACCCCAGATAATACAAAAATGTGACAAAAAGTTTATCCAGTTAGTTGTGAGTAGCCTGTTACATAAAGTGGTGTACACATTATACGTATTCAGTGTTGAAGGCATAACAACCATATAGAGTCTTTTTATTATATTTTGTTATACTTATTGTCTTCAGTTGGAAATTATATATATATAATCAGTTTTTGATGAATCATGTTCAGCAAGACTAAGAGATCATACGCAGAAGTTGCTAACGGAGTTGAAAGGTTATACTAAAACTAAAATGCGTCGGTATATAATTGTATAAATGAATATTTAGTTCATGTTTTTCCCTTCATAATTCACCCTTTGCGATGTTAATAGACCAGAAAAGGGGAAACCTGACTCGACTCAGAGTTATAATTAGGGTGAGAGACACGGTAAGTTAATTTTGACGCTGAATTTCAATCAGACATTTCCATTTTTCATTAGTAAATGTAATAAATTAAAATTGATTAATTTAATTAAATGACATTGAAGTTACGACATGCAACTTCATTTATGTTTGTGATTGATGTTCCTGTGACGCAGGCTATAGACTCTCTATTCGCCATGTAAAGTGTAGTGAAATGTATCTCATTGTAATATTAAAAAAAACTAAAGCCTCTGCGGAGGAGAGAGGCTATAGATGTTCAAGCACTGAGATATTTTTAGTATGCAGCATATATTCGCAATATTGCAGCGTATATAGCACATTCAATGTTGGATTGCATCATACACTACACTACACTCAAATTTAATACTTTAGAGCACAATTGCTGCTGAATTCAGCGCAATTTGCTTTGTGTGCCGTGGTTTCTTTCTTTCTTTGTCTGCTTGCATTTCATAGTCAAGTGCGGCGGCTAAATAAACTAAGTGCGTCACATGCAGTTATATCAAACCAGACAAAAAGAGTCGCCGCGCAATTACGAAACATGTTTTACTTTGTAATATAGTGTTACAACGATGTTCATTCCTTTTGTTTAGAAAATCAAAATGCTTCACTTGTAATATATTGTACTATCTTTGAATTGTGTCCCCCCCCCTGTAAATTATTATCATATATATCTGATGTGGTGCAAAATGCTCTAATTTGCATAAATTATGCACGGTTCCAGGTTCCGGTTCCAGGTTCCGGTTCCTGTATCGCTGTATCGTTGTATCGCTGTATCGCTTTTTAGTAGTAGCCCTAGCGAAGGGCCGATTTTTAGAATTTTTTATGAAAAAGTTTAATCTTATTACCAAAAACGTAAGTGCAAACTTGCACACTAAGTTTAAAAAAATAGTGTCGCGATTATTAGACGTACATTTTTCTAAATCTTATTTTTTATTTCAAGTGGGAGGGCACAATGGTGGATAGGAGTCCAGAGACGTAGCGACCAGAGGGCTGCGTAGGGGGAGGGGAGGGGAGGGGGAGTTATGGGACTTCGAGGTAAAAATGTTAAAAACTTTACATAATATATATTACTCGAATTTTTGTTACTGGACTGAATGCCAAATAATTTGTTCATTCGATTATCGATATAGGCGATCAGTAAATGATACGAAAGCTTGGGAATACAATGAACTATTATCAGTCACTCGCTTTATATTCACTGACTAGTGGCCATAAAAGCTCATGTAATTTTTCCGACCTCCGCTACTAACTAGTTCCCGACGCCTTCACTGTCCTCCGGCTTAATTCGCTCGAAACGTCGAAGTTCTCCTTGTATTTTTCAGGTAGCTGTATCCCTATCAATGCAAAGCTTTCTTAGTTTTGCCACTAGCTACACTGAACACAGAACTGCATCAGTAAATGATGACGTTTATGTGACTTTATTTATTCAGCTTAAACATGTCTTAAAGGTTTGTGGTAAATGTTTATCTAAAAGTGCTACAACGTACAACCACATGATATTTTGTAAAAGATAAGCTTTAAAAACTTGTGACAAGATTTGCGAGTCCGGCCACGAGACATGTTTTAGTGGTTTATGTTAATGTATGTAGCTATAAACAAAAGCCCCAGTCTTTTATGATAAGCTTGCAGTCGTCACCTCAAAGATATTGCTAATATCGGAAATTCATCTGAAAAATATTTTTGGGGGGATATTCGTTCGCCTTCGTTCATGCATTTCTTTCATTCTATTATTCTTCATCAAGTTTGTGTTTCTTGCACGCGAAAATTAACAATCCACGCATTTGTCATTTTTTACAAATATGTAATTTGTAAACGTGTGTCTCATCGTTTTACATTTCAAAGCCGGCAGCCAGAATGAAGGTTTCATCACTGGGTGAAAATGAGCCAAGAAAAATCATCAGCCTCTTCAGGATTATGCGCTCGTGCATGTGTTAGCACTTTATAAACGATTTAAGCTTTCAGAATACACTTGACAAAAATTCACCTCACTTCAAATAAATTGTCTGGCGAGCTAAGAGCTTTTACAAAACACAAGTACCATAGTATAACATGTAGTACCATAGTATAACATGTAGTATTTCTAGAATTTGACAGTGAGAAAAACATACTTTGGGGTTTTGGTATAAAAACTTTAAAACGTCTTGGTGAAAATCTGTTGAGAATACCAGTAAATTCGCGCCTTGGGCTAAAAATAGAGAAACATACACGAAATTCTTAGCTGTTAAAAGGCATATTTTCATAACAAGCGCAAGCATTGTATACCATTCAGTTCATTTCATTCAACATTATAATTATATTTTATTCAATTATTTTTCATTCGAGTGTGTTGTTGTTTCTGCGCAGCCAATCAGGGACAAGAACACGTACTTGAGTCAATGTCAGAGATATGGAACAATCCCTGTCAAGGTATGATGTCGAAACACGTATCGACACAAACAAAATACAGACCACAGTTTTGTGTGCAGAACAGTCGGTACAAGCTGCCGCTAAGTTCACAACGAAAAAAACAATTAGGGGAAAACGTGAAGCCGCATTGTGTCGCTTTGAAAAGGAACACGAGATATATCACATAGTTAATTCATTTGAAAATCTTTTTGGATTTAGTTCAAAACGATTTGAGCGACCGTAAAATTCGCATTATATTCAAAGATACAACAGAAGGGTCAAGCCTCAAGCCTCAGCATTGTATTCAAAAAGAAACACGATATAATACATTCTTAGGCGTTTGAAAATTTCAAGAATTCAAAATTTGAATCATGGCAGGATTTGGTAAAAGCGCAAACGGCGTCTCGACTTTCTCTGTACGCGAGATACTTAACCTGAAAGAAGACTCTCAGAAGAACATTGAAGCCGTTTCCGAAACGGAAAGATCAGCTTACGAAGTGGATCAGCACAATGAAGAGAAATTGGAATTCAGAAAAGTGGAATCGGAAATGGAAGGGAAGATAGATGGCGATTCAGGTAGGTTTACTAAAGATAATTTAGACTAGATGAACAGAATGTAAAAATTGGGATTATATCTCAAACTCTGTTCTCCTTTGTTGGAAGCATTACAGTATACAATTGACTCTACCAAACACAGCAGGTTTCGGTTTTTCCTGTGGTATACATGGACAAAGAGATGCGTTGGCCTTTACTGCATTTCTAGGACAAGGAAACAAATTTGAAGTCATCCTGTAGCTAGCTTTACCAAATCGTATTTATATCTGCTCTCATGGTTTGTGCCTATAAAGTAGATGAATAAAACACTTCAATGAGCATCTACGACCGAGTGCATGCATTGCGTTTGTCATGAAGAAGTTAGGTGTTACTGTCAACTCTCTTGACCCGAGGAAGGCACTTTACTTTAAGACAGGAGGTATTTCACAGTTCAGATACGAACCACATGCCTAGAATTATAACTTTTATATTATTATTTTAAAGAAATTATAGCCCCTTCTTCCTAACCATATTTTATACAAAATATTCGTGCCACTTCTGGTCAAATCCATTTCGAAAACTTATGTATAAATTTATACGACTGAAGTGTTGCAGATTGTACACAGAATTGCGTCACGTGCGCAAGGCGCTGATAATATGCAATCGTTTTCGGTCATACCGGTAGATATATTTCTACGTTGATAAAATGATAAATAATTTATGAGGCCATTATGAGTTTTCAAGTATTTGGTTTTCTATAGATGTATAGGTCAAGGATTTAATCAATGTTTTCAAATACTGTGGTCTAAATTGTTGCCCAAAACATTTCAGGTTGACGCATAATCCACACCACATAATCAGTCTATAATAATTGAATGATTCAGTAACAGCCAATACACCTTTAAATCAAATGTTTCCTCAAATGTATGGGCGGTTTCCCTCCCAACCATGACTAGGAAGGCAATGTTTCCTGGTTTGTCCACCTTTGGGAAACATGACTAGGAAACAACGTTTCCTGGTTTGTCCACCTTTGGGAAACATGGCTAGGAAACAATGTTTCCTGGTTTGTCCAACTTTGGGAAACATGACTAGCAAACAATGTTTCCTGGTTTGTCCACCTTTGGGAAACATGGCTAGGAAACAATGTTTCCTGGTTTGTCCACCTTTGAGAAACATGGCTAGGAAACAATGTTTCTTGATTTGTCCACATTTGGGGAACATGACTAGGAAACAATGTTCCCTGGTTTGTCCACCTTAATAATAATAAAATAATAATACTAATAAAAAAACATCTTTATACTACAGCTCATGCATATTATCTTTCAGACCAAGAAATCGTGGAAATCGACTTGACCCGAACTCCTGCGAAGAGCGAAGATCCAGAATTCCAGCCCGCTTTAAGAAAACGCAGACGTCGTGTTCTCTTCACAAAAACGCAAACGCAGGAGCTCGAAAAACGTTTCCGCGAACAACGTTACCTCTCGGCGCCAGAACGCGAGGAACTTTCAAAACTGATCGACCTCACCCCAACGCAAATTAAGATATGGTATCAAAATCACAGGTATAAATACAAGCGACAACGGGAGGAAAGCGCAGCTATGCACCGATTGCAGTTCTTTTCAACTCCAATTCGAGCTATCCCACTACCTTTGCCCATCTATAGACATTACCCTTGCTGTACAGTTGCACACAGAGGAACTATGGCTGCATATAATAGAACACATCAGTTGCCCAGGCAGCAGTCCTATTGTAGTGCATTTAATGCATGCGCTTTGAACCCTAGGCTGACTTGCCATTACCGCCCTTACCGATAGATGAATGATCCCTTTGAAATACATGCACACTATATGGAAATGTCATGAACTATATGACGATATTCATGGGAAAACGCGTCGCAATATGGTCTAATATGTCATGTATATGAAAAGGAACCGTGTCCTATATTCCTTACCAACCTTAACTGGCTATGCAAAATATCAGATCTAGAGTAATCAAACTTAAACATGCATGAGTACATTTATGCTCGTGCTTGGTGATAAAAGTCTTATACAATCGGTTTATATACTACAGAACATTACACACTTCGATCAAATTGTACTTTGCATGTTTACAAAAAAAGTTCGTTAGAGTAAAGTAGTCTTAGTGAAAAAACAATTTTTGAAATGATAAACGTATTATCTGAAATTTTTTATATAGTGTGTTACGGCGGGGTGGGGGACAAAAATAGTCAGTCCAACTCGATGGCCCTCACTGAACCTCTAGAGAGAACAGTTTAGTCTGTTTGGAACTGATAGAGCCATCTCAGTAGTACTAGTATGCATGAGATTGGCTAGCAAGAGTTGCATGAGAGTTCTCTCAAAGGCCTTACTACACTGAAAGGGATGCATGACCTTGATATTTAGAGAGAACAATTTAGAACTGATAGAATTTAATTTAGTAATATTGCATCTGTGATTACATGCTGCAAGCAGCATACATTTTCAGGTGCTCATTCTTCTCAATCAATTAATCATCAGCGAAGTACAAAGAAATCGAAATACTAGAGTTGTGTATGACAATTCATTAATTGAATTTACTCATCTCATTCAAACACTGCCGTCTGTACAAACACAGCGATGAATTAAGAGAAAGCATGTATAAATAATTGAACTAACAAAAAATATCATCTACATCCAACAACTCCGCCCCTGCTAAAAGTGGCCAAACAAATTAAGCCGTAACGCATTTTAAAACATAATCTCGGATTTCCTAACCAAATTGAAAATGTGAGGTTGATAAGCAGAAAAAAACGACATGGCTATGTGTTTTAAGTAAAAAGATAAGGACTTTCTTTCAGTTGGTAAAAACGTTTACATATAGATAAGCATTAAAGCTAATTTTGTCGTTGGAATTTTCACATAAATACGATGAGATGTTTGACCAGACTTTACATTTATTTGCTGATAAGAATGACAACTATTAGTTCAGGCGTGGGGTACGTTTTTCACTGTGGAGACAAAGGGGAAAAACTACTCAACTTGATAACCACTCATTTAAAAAAAAAAAGTTTAAAAAATTTACTCAAACTGAAACATATCAAACTGAATCAATGCTGCCTCTTTTTTTTGGACATAAAGCCAAAACGCTGCTTTCCATGTAGTTAAATGTATTTTCTACGTGGGTGTATACACGCACAGATAAGTTTAAATCTCTTTACATTTTATTTATGAAATAACAACATGAAGAAAAGAACACATTTAAATTTCTGTATCATTTAATGGGTAGTTCATGCTCAGGTAATTAGTACTAATGTGAAATTTAAAAAGATTGAAACTTTCAGTTCGTGCGTTCAAGCAAGTATGAAAAATTACTGGAAAGCAGCTTAACGAAGGGACAAGTTCAGAACTCCAGACGAAGGACGTTGAAACGTCGAAATTCTCCTTACATATTTTCAGGTAGTTGCATCCCTGCTGACGAAAGCTTGTTCATAAAGAAGGGACAATTTTGGAACCTTTCATAAACTCCCCAAACTTGTTTACTAGTACATATTACAACGTTGTAAACTGCACGGACTTAGTATAAGGGCCATCTCTTCAGCCAACCCTTCGGCAAACTATGCTGTATTTGATTAGAACCTCATTTCCAACTTGCTGTTGTCATATAAGCTCAATTTTCACTGTTAATAAAATGTTTGTGATCACTAATTCGAGTCAGGCTTTTCAATTTAAATTGTATCTTAGAGAAGTGGTTTATACTTTCTTGAAGATCTCCTTGTATTGTTCAGGTCGTTATATCCCAGTCAATCACAGGCTTTCTTATTATTGCCTCTACCTACACTGCTGGTACAGACCATTCGTGATTGCTACATTTTCACACCCTTTCACACACCAAAGCATTTACCGGCTTCAATGGTGCCAGTCTTTTGTAATCACGTTTCGTATTACAATGCATGATTCCATGCAGCTATATATATAGACTAAATTTTGATCCAGACAAGACGACGAAATCTATCATTATAGCTTAAAATAACATCCTTAAAATGGTAAAATTGCAAAGTCTGGTTGCGAAATGTTGTAAAATACAGAAAATATAACCCTGTGAAATTAGAAAATTTTGAGTATTTTAGTATTACGCGCGGAAAAATGCACCACTTTTGAGCCGAAAGTGGAAGTTATTTTTAACGCGCGTAATACTAAAATACTCAAGATTTGCTAATTTCCCAGGGCTCTGCTTTTTGTATTTTACAACATTTCGCAACCAAACTTTGCAAAATTTACTAATTTTAGGATGCTCTTTTGAACTATAATGATAGATTTCGTCGTCCTTGTCTATAGATAAAAAATTAGTCGATAGCTGGAAACATCCAATAGCATTTATAAATATATTACTTCTTACAGTTTTGTGTCATTTTCGTATTTATCGATCTGAGGTTAGTGGAATGAAAAGTGTTTTGTTTTCGCGTTAGGCAAATGTTTACACAGTCTGCTTTGCAGTTTACTGATCTTCCAATAAATTATTAAATTAATTGATTTTGTGTACCTACGCACCGTTTAACCCACGCAATATATAAATTGTGGAAAACTCGGTGTTTCCATATATATATATATATATATATATATATATATATATATATATATATATATATATATATATATATATATATATATATATATATATATATATATATATATATATATATATATATATTTGCTATGAAAAATAAAATGTAGTATGGGGAAAATATACTACTCAATAAATTTGTCTCTAACTAGAAATTCAGTTCTAAACTGTTCTCCCTAGAGGTTCAGTGGAGGTCATCCCTTATTGATCCAGTTCTTCTATACAAGGCTGGATAGTTCTATCAGTTCTAAAATCTAAAATGTTCTTCCCATGAGTTTCAGTGCTGAAGGGCAGGGAATCTGAACTAACTATATATTCCATATACTGGACAGCTCTGTATTGTATTTCTGTCCTATATTGTTCTACTTGAAGAAAAACCTGGTCCTACTCTACAAGTCTACAATATTAATCCATTTATGATGGTGGAAAATCCGCATTGAATTTCATGACTTTGAATTGGGTTGATGTGAAATGTACAAAACATCTTTTAAAGATGAAAATTTACCATTGAAATTCACTAATCGCAGTGAAGATCTTTACTCAAGCACGAAGCTGAACAAATACTGAGTAATTTATGTGTCAATACATGCTAACAACTGAATCGTGAAACATATAATTATATCAAACTCTTGAACGTAGCGCGTGGTCTGCAAACTATACATGTACATTTGTGGTTACTCATTGCAGGGGTTGACGATTTGTCATGCAAATTGCTATTTACCCACATGCCCAGTGATAAGGTAAACAGCTAATTCTTATTGATACAAATGACTTTAACAATCAAATATATATCAATACAGAATTACTATGGTAAAACTGTATCTTTTTAAAACTAAATTCGGATCCATATTTGAGAACCTTTAACATATATGGCCGATTTAATCCAATTATCTGGGAACCGTATAGACGAAGGAATCGAATAAATAGTTCATCTCTATAAACTCAATACAAATTCCTTTTGAAATATATACAATTAGTATATATCTATACAGAATTACGATGTTAATACCACAGAATTTAGACCCCTATTCTGTGGTTAAAACAAAATATCTATTAACCCATTAATCCTCGCAGCGTAATATCGTCTGGCGTTAGACCGTAAAAAAATACGGCGCATCGGAGTGTATTGCGGCTTAATGGTTTATTAAGAAGAACCGTAGGATTTTATTTCTTGTAGAATACAAAGCTTCTAAGACAAAAACATAGTCTATAATACTACACACAGTTATTTTTATTACAATATATACGTTCTTACAATTACTTAAGTGTTCTGCTGATTGCAATATTATTGAATTCTGGTCATTTGCATAATTATATCAATCAAAATTGTTTCACTTTCGTTAAATATGTTTCGCCAGAGGGATGTGGTGATGACCTTTCACTAAAACGAGAAGAAGTGTTAAGTTAGCAAAACCCATTTAGAAAAATGATAAAATCAACAAATTTCTATCAAAACACAAGAATGAATATGTAAAGCCTAAAACTAAACTTTGTTTCTGTTGGATAAATCAGTTCTAATCTGTTCTCCCTTGGTGGGCCAATAAAGACCCTCTCTTGATTATGTAGTCCAGTGTTATACTGCAAGAAGAAACTCATGGAGAACGCAAAGCACAAGAGCAAAATCTCACAGCTGGTCAACAAAACTTGTTCGCACTGCTTGTTCCGTGTTGTTGACAAGTCTGGAACAAGTTGTTATCATCTTGTTACAAGGTTGATGAAGCCAACAGACTCGTTCGCAACAAGTTGTTCCAACAAGTCTGATATCGTCTGCACGTAATAGGTTGTTGTTGTTGTTAGCAAGTTGATGACAAGAACTTCGCACCAACTTGTTACGAACAACTTGTAGAAAATCTGTTACTGTCATCAACCTTGTAACAAGGTGATAACAACTTGTTCCAGACTTGTCACAACAACTGGGAACAAGCAGTGCGAACACATTCTGACATCGACTTGACAATTTGTTTTGCAGATGTCCCAACTAGCGCGTTTTTACGTGAGTACCAGGAAGCACTCTTCTCACATGAGACTGAAGTGAAACTATAATCAGACGACTGCTCTCAGCCACAGAGATGAAAGGATCATGCATCAACCACTAGCCCTGCACCATAACCAAAAAGTTAATAGAATTGAAATGGACATATACAGAAGCAGATACAGAATATATACAGTTGAAAAACAACGTCAAAGATGAAAACATGACATCCTGCGTAGCTCTCAGGAAATATTAACCATCATAAATTGAATGCAAACTAACAAAAAAAAACATTCACTTACCAACTAATTTAATATCACCCTTTTCCATAACATTGGTGAAAAAATTCAAAGCGTAGCAAGTATAAATTCCACGATCTTTTTTCGTCAACTTCTCAATTTTCAATTTCCCTTCCACTATAAGCGGATACGATGAAACTTTTCTTGCAGAGATCCAATGGACTCTTTCCGTCTCCCCAAATCTTTTACCATCCTTAAACCAAAATGTATCTTTCCGGCCACAAGCTCTGCATTTAATAATAACATCACCGCCAACTTTGACTGGAATTTCAGAGGTTTCTATACTCAACGATGGCGAGCAGGAACTGGCTCCATTACCACCTAAAATGAAGAGTTTGGTTGAGGATTTTCTATGGAAGGACAGGGTGTACTCAGAAGACATAGAGGGCCTAATGTCCCCATTACAGAATACATCAAGATTTATACTATAAGTCTATAAGTGAGGGTGTGCAAATTATCCTTATTCTTTCGGCTGAAAGCTAAGCTGAATTGCGAAGCAGCTCAACCTGATCCAGTCGAAGGCTTTCTGAGAGCGCCTCTGGCAGCCACTTTATGACTTGTGTCCGATTACAGAGCATAGCTATACGATGAATGTAAACATTGCCTGTGGCAGGAAACCGTAGTACCCGGACATAACCCACAACTTTCGGTAGAGCATAATCCACAACTTTCGGTAGAGCGTTGACTGATTCTTCACGTAAGTGTCACGAGTCCACAGCGAGAATGAAGCCACGTAATCTACATACAAGACTACGAGACATATAGTGAAAGATTAAACATAATTCTTGTTCAGACGACTGCTGGTTCATCACCATTTCTTGTACGATGGTGTTCAGTGAATATCTAACCAATTGGCGAATTTCATTAAGCGTTATGAGACAGCAGATGGTGCACAACTTTATAGAAATGCAAACACTTCTAGTAGCAAGAAAATGAAACTACATCAATCCATGTATTTGCCGCCAAATACATTATAACAAGAATACCGCGCTCTCTGATAACTGAGCTTGACTATCATCTAGTAGACCATAATGGTAAGTAAAATCCAGACATATTGCAGTGTTTCGAGCAACTACAGGCTTACAAAATCATTTTGCATCAGTATACAGCTGGTTTTGAATTCATGTCTACGAGGCATATAGCTTTGATGACGTGGTGGTCAAAAACGAAAGCGCTGTCGATACAGAATCGGACAACTTTCTTTTCCACCATAAATTAAATAGAAACAAATACTGCTTTGCAAATTCTTTTTAAGGTGTGCAGAAATAACGATTTCTAATTTCCACATTTTTAAATGAAAGTTAGAAAAGGTTTTAGATGGCCAAGTCTTCGAAATATAAATCAACTGATCGGATACACTTGAGGAATTCTTCAAAACTCAAACGACGATGGGCTCTTCTTCAAAAGGTTGGAGTGTTTCCCTGGATCTCTAATGTAATTCAATTGCTACATTTCAAAGACTAAATTTCGATCAACATTCTTCTAATTAAAGACAGAATATTTACAAAATGATTTCGTTTAACATTAGTAAAGGTAGAGTGCAAGTACGACTCCTAATCCTAAAACCTCCATGATAACAAATGGTTAAAACAAACAGAAACTACTACCTTGTTTTGCCTGCACGAACGAGGCACCACACACGACAATGATGACTAAGAATACTGAAAAATGATCCATCCTTTAAGAAAAATGTTACAACCAAATTGAGAATCGACTAGACCAGATTAAAAAATAATTTAAAGTAAAAAGAAAATGGCCATTTTATTTATACTGTAAATCAATATGACGTAAATATAAAATTTGTAATTGTCTTAAAATAGCTTTCGGGGGAGTATATATATATTGTTTAGAAAATGAAACAATAAAGATTAGAGTATTTCTGCAAGCTTGGACAAGTTCATATTTACCTCACCTTGAATGCTCGACCAGTTTTTGAAGTGCGTGGCCAATATCTTTAAGTGCCTTTGAAACTAGTACTTAGCACGTGCATAATAATCTCAAATATAATTACCTTTTTGCTAAATGCATGATACAAATCAATCCATCGTTGGTTCAAACTATCACAATGTACATTAACAAAGTGAAACCTTCTAAAATGTTAGCGATTTGCATTGTAAGGCTTCCAGGAAAATGGGCAAAATTCTGGTTAATCTATTGTTTTAAGAATCTTAATTGGTATCGAATGTAGGTGTTAAAACAGTAGGTGGTCGCTTGTAGCAGGCGTTGCAGCGCGATAAAGATTTATTGAATTCTTTGTCCGGCGAGCTTGGAGGAAGCCAAACAAAATAAGACTTCCGATCCATCTATGGTAAATTAAAAAGCTATATTTGCTTCCAGCAAAAACCATCAAGTGTTTACCATAACATTATTTTTATTATATTTCTCGGACGACAGCGTACTTCCAGCCGTCATTTCCTCTTCTGGGGAAGCGATTGCAAATAAGTCTCACCACGCAACTAATCCTTGCGTAACATTTCCGACTACAGTCCAAGGACCAGAAACTTACCATTGCTATACCAAGAACGCCAGGTTCAATTCTCATAAGGGTTAAGTTTCGGTTTATGATTGGAATTTAGGCTAAGAGTTAGTGTTTGGGGTACTACGTAAATTTTCAGAAACATCTGCTCAGTGGATGCGTGCATATATGCAAGCTTTAAACGTTGACGCTGTAGTCTGAAAATCAAACAAACAATTACTCCAATATTCCATTAATGAGGAAATGAACATATTTTTGGAATTCCTAAGAATCACATCCTATTGCATAAGTCCGCCCACGGCCCACATACATACACAGTTACACACATACCTAGACTTCATTTAATTTAACACGCTAGTCTCGACAACTATCAGCTGGTTTCCATGAGAGGCGTGTAGATGAGTGAAGATTTATAATACAAAACATGATAGGAAGATTACAAGGGCACTCTCTACATGACACAACAAGAAGAAAAAAGACAGAAATACACGAGCCGGCTTCAACTCATCGTTTGTTTCAGAATCGTTTTAAAGAAGCGCATGGATGCATTAATATTAATAGGAAATCACTTCTTTCAATTCAACTTGTTACTTAAATTATTGCCATATTAGAAAAATTTATAGAAAGCATGCAAAAAATCCAGTTATAGTCCGGTTATAGTCCGGTTATATCCAGTAAAGGAAATACTCCACGTTTCGAATGCCAAAGAAGCCGGAAGGAAAAGGCAGCACTCTTCTCAGAGAGGACTTCAGAGAAGACTTCGTAGGGAGTCAAAATTAAGGTTGGATCAGTGTTCCAGCTGTTGTAACTTAAACAGAATGCATGATAGTGTTGAGAAAGCATAAGAATATTAACAGCTAACCAAGTCATGTGACTTCCAACAACTCTTGTGCACGCACTCTCGTTTCATCCGGGATTCTGGGCTTTAACAGCACATCATTATGCCATCAGTGCGGAAAAAGAGTAGCAAAGAGAAGCAAAAGTTAAAGGCAGATGCACTAACCATGATATCAGCAATATACACATCAGACTTAGAATACGAACAACGAATTCTTTCCATCACAAAAATAGTATTACAGCAGTACAGCGTGATGTTCTCATGAAAGAAAAACGAAGAAAACAAAACTGAAACATTTGAAAATGAAATCAAAACCCATAATGCCAAAATGTTTGTCATTAATAAACACGAAGCTAAATTGAACAGTGGTTGTCTGGTTTACACTGTACCCGGATAGTTTTCCGTAGCGACGTGAAAAACAGCTATCCGTACCTTTTAGGAACGCTATTTTCAGAGGAATTATTGCAACGGAGAGATGTTGTTTCGCTCAGCTTCTGAAAGTTGTACATTCCGTATCGGATAGGTGCTTTTTCGTGCCGCTACGGAAAGTTATCCGGTATAGTGGAAACATAGCCTTGAACACGAGTCGTAGTTCTTTAGAAAATTTATGGTTTTGTGTTTCATAATCAACTAATGGCAATGATGGTTCGTGTAAGATCGAGTAAAACACTTAGGGGGCGGGGAGATTAGGAAAGGAAAGGTGAAGACCTTAGCTACAAATTGGTTAACTCGTGCATAAAACGCTTAAACCTTTGCAGGATGTATATCACATGTTGGATTAAGGTTCGGACCATGGTATTGAAGTTTTCGCTCAAGTTGTTGGAATGACAACAGCAGGTTATGACAGGTCAAAGCCAAAAGACAAACAAGGAAGTGAAACCGAAGATGCATGCGATGTAGCACGTTCTAGTCTAACCGTTTCAATTGAAAATTGTTACCATGTATTGTTGTATAAAAGAGAGATGATTCTTATATAATTTTACGCCTAGAGAGAATTGCTATAGGCAATACAAATAAAGTTAATATAATTATGTGGTATAACCTTTAGGGACTGTTTACATGGTCCCGCTTTGCCGCAACGGAAAGGGGATGGTTTTGATGTTGTGAAATAGGTCACGGGTTCATGATTCAGCAGAGTTCGAACTCATGTGAAGAGTTGGTCTTCCCGCTGCAATGGAATGCAATGGATGATTTTGCTGTTGTGAAATAGGTCACGAGTTCATGATTCGGCAAAATACACCCTTTCGATAATTACGTCACACATACTTTTTGGTCTTGGAGCCTCGCTCTCATTAGTAAATCACGCAAGGTGATTGGCTCACGATTCATGAGAGCGAGGCTCCCAGGCCAAATGACGTAATTATCGAAAGGGTGTATTCCAGTGTGACCCGATTTGGTAAAAAGTGTTACTTTCGGTAAAATTTCGTGAATTTTCAAGAAAATTTGGTAATAAGTTTTTTTTGGTAAAATCTGAAAGGTTTTAATTATTAATAATCATTTTGGTAAAAATGTGTGTTTCTTGTTTAATAACGTGCTCAAAGTGACCAAAGTGATGAACAGAACTGCGAAGTCTAAGAAATAAAGCCTTATCATTAGCAAAAACTGCAATACGATGAAAGCAACAAGTATTTGGAGATACCTTTTTGTGCATATTTTTTCTACTTTAATGACGTAACTATTGTTTTTTGCATTATTATGACGTAATTATTTGGGAAGCCGACATTTGGTAAAATTTTTCTTAATTTAGTAAAATTTGAACAAAAATTTTGGTAATGACTGCTGAAAAAATCTGGTCACACTGGTGTATTCGGACTCATGTGAAAAGCCAGTCAACGCTCTGTCGAAAGTCGTGGGTTTTCCATGCACAGGGAAAGTTGACAGGGTGGGTTAGGATAAACACGGTTAAATAGTCTAGGCTCAGTAGGTAATGTAAGTATAAGCGTAATACTTGATGTAATCAGTCACTGAAATGCCTCGATGGGCGATGGGGAACGACCTGAATAATGTACGTAAAAATGTTTTAATATTAATTAGGTTCGTTGAATTACATCTTTTAACTTTAATCGCTTGCAACAAAACACATATTGTAGTTTACAATTTTGAATTATATTTTTATTATTTCGTTTACATGCGTCGTCCAAATACTTTAGCCAACTAGATACTGTCGCAAAATATTGCCCTTGACTCATTTGAATTGTATAATAATGAAAGCATACAGTAGTTTTACTATTTTCTCTTAGTATTCTATACTACATGTTGAGCACAGTGACCTTCATATATATAATATGGCGCGAGAACTCGAGTCCGAAAAGTGAAACAAAAGATGGAGATGTTGGACGTCAGTTCCAATCCCTTTCTATTGCTTTTGTCTGCGCGGTTAACAGGGGTGGAAATTTTTTTTTTCTTTCTGGGAACCTGGGTCGAAGGCTAGAAATTTTCTGTAAAATTTGCAATGTTACAATTACAAAAATAACAAAACAAATGCATAATTATTGTATTATTTGTACTTTAGTAACCCTATCATCTTATTTATTCCATCACTTTTATTTGTTTACTATTTAATTTGCATTTTATTGGAGACTTTGCAGAGCATATATTTACCATTTTACCTCATTGTGATGGCAGGGGTGGGTAAAAGAATTAATTTCTGTCAAATATTTAAAAGGCTGCTGATGTCAGCGTGTACAGTACTACAGTGTAAATAAAGTAGAATAGTTGTAACTTGAAAGTCGAGTAAACAGAGTTATCTCAAAATATTGAAATATTTTCTGGAAAATTTTCTGCAAAACTCTCAACTCAAAAAAATTTCTGGGAACTAGGTTCCCAGGTTCCAATACTTTTTCCACCCCTGGCGGTTAACACGAAGCTAGCAAGGAGTGTGCAGAAATTTCGTATTTTGACATGGATTTAAAGAATAACACTATGATTTTATGAACTGATAATGTGATTAGCGATACGGTCCGTCAGAAAAACTGGAATTAGCTTTAGGGGAAAATGGTATAAAAACTGTTTACGACCTTCAGAGCTATTGGACGTCAATGGCCGCCGTCTTGGCTTCACTTTTCTCGTTGACCGAATGACTGAAGTTGAATATAAAATAACTTTCAGATTCAAATAAATAATACATACACTCTTCCGGAACGTATTCAGTGTTGCCTATAAAGCATCGTTTTCGTGCATGATTTGAGATATTGGGTTTAAGCCCTTGGCAAACTAGGGAACATTGTTGTGGAAACATTTATGATTCTCGATGATTACTCAAATGTTAGCCCACCCGTGGAAACATTGTTGCGGAAACAAAATTTGCTTCCCGAGAAGCAAAGATGTTCCCTAGCGCATTCAGAAACATTTGATGTTTCCCTATAGTTTCTCACTAATGTTTCCTAGTGTTTGTCCACTCTGGGAAACATGGCGAAACATTGGCAGGAAACAATGTTTGCGCAACAATCTTTCCTAGTTTGCCCAGTGCTTTAGAAACGATAAATAATCAAGTCATCAGAAAAAGATAAAGGCCTCTAAAGCCGCTATCTCAATCACGAAAATGAAACTCAAAAGCCACGGCTAAGCACTTTCTGGAAGCGTCTATTCTATATCTTGTTACCAGCAGACTATAGAGTCTCTCTTCCAACAGATAGAAATTTCTGCTTCTAACACTGACCCGGAAAGAGTACAGTATCTCTTCACAACATGCTACATACATGTCTGTTTCTAAGGAGAGCAAAATTCTGTTTCGTGAAACCTTAGCAGGATCGTTTTGCATCATTCTCTTGATTTTCTTGTCCGATAGCATCGGGATTCGAGAGCGGATCCAAGTCAGAAAACAGATTCAACCAAGTGGATAAATTTCCATCTGATGGCTTCGTCGCCCTTTTCCTCATTCCAGCTTGTTGTCCTGCGGGAGCAGGGGCACTGGGGCTTAACAGATCAGTGGACGCCAGCCCGCCGGTTGCCTGCTGAGCGGGTGTAAGGTTGCCTGCCCCTCCGGACGGGGCGTACGGATCAAGGCTTGCAAAGCTATCGATCAAATCAGACGGCATATATTTGGTTGGCGAGTCAAGCTTGTCTTGGCTGGAAGGCAGTTCTGCTTGCTGTTCGTTGCCAAACATTTTATTCCAGCTTTCAGTAAAACTGCCGGCATCTCCAAGGTTCTGTGATGGTTGAGATAGGCTACCAAACAGCAAGTCGTCTGCATTTGGTACGTTGCTGTCTGTACTTAACAAATCCTGAGCTGCCGTTTGATTTCCTGAAGTAAGAATGTAGCATCCAATGGTTAGCACCACAGGGTGTACACTATAAAGCTTTCTACGTATTTGGGAAAGGCAATTGCTAGATAGTATACTTCAAAATAAGATTTCCGTTTTTATATCAATTTTTAAAATAATTAAAATAAGTTAGGGTTAGGTTAGAGTTTAGGTTAGGGTTAGGTTGGGGTTAGGGTGAGGGTTAGTATTAGGGTTTAGTTTTGCGTTAGGATAGTTTTTTCTACGTTATAAAAATGGAAACCTTATTTTGAAGTATACTATCTAGCGATCACCATTTGGGAAAGGAACATGAACTCTTAACGGAAATTTTTTTTTATATTTTCGGAAAATTTTCTGTCCGTGGAAAATTTCCTTGAGTGGGAATGGGCCTATAGAATTAGTGGCGCATGATGATGATTATGATGATGGTGATTATGATGATGGTGATTATGATTATGGTGATTATGATGATTATGATGGTGATTATTATGGTGATTATGATGGTGATTATGATGATTATGATGATGGTGATTATGATGATGATGGTGATTATGATGGTGATTATGATGATGATGATGGTGATTATGATGATGATGATGGTGATTATGATTATGATGGTGATTATGATTATGATGGTGATTATGATGATGGTGATTATGATGATTATGATTATGATGGTGATTATGATGATTATGATTATGATGATGGTGATTATGATGATGGTGACGATGGTACAATGAACCGTCTTTAATTTAACCCCCCTTTTGAAGACATTTATCTGGAGTGGCTATACACCCGGCATCACATTTACAGTAAATACACCTAGACAGTAAGTAAAGGTTGAAAATGCGAATACAATTGAACCCGACAACATACCTGCCATGCCATTGTTCATTGTGCTATTACTGGCTGTACCAAATGAAGCGAGTGCCGAGCTAGTGTTGTTCAGCATAAAGTCGGACATATTTAATTCGCCATCTTCTGCATTACCATCAGACAATCCCAACAGATCATCAATTCCTGACAAAATAGAGATTCTTAGTTACTCAATAATGTTATATCTATCAACGAAGCTATTCACACTTGCAGTGCAGTGATAAACTATTAATAAATCTCTGCAGACTTAAGCTCATTTTCCACACGGCGAATTTGTTCGCGCGAACAGTAAAAAAGTAGGAATTGATCCAACTTTTTCGCTGACCAATCACATTGCCAAGATTTGTTCTTCGCTTCGCGCGAAAAAATTCGCCTGGTGTAAAACGGGCTTAAAGGTTGCCACTTTAATTGCAATCTTCTTCTTCTGATGGATGTGAACGAGTAGATGAGCTATGGTTGTTGTGAGTTGATGTACTCCACTCATGTACCCTCATCTGAACATTCGTAACTCATCCACTCGTTCACATCCGTCAGAAACATGAGAAAAGACAAGACTATTATCTACGATTGTTCATCAGATGAACATGACGCTACCTTTATAACTCCCCAAGTCGAGGGTTTGCAGAATTTTATGGTTTGCCAAACTGGATATTTTAATATACTGTAGGAGCAGACAAGTTTCTAAGACGAACCCCAAACTAGCTCACAAAATCTGGTATTACCAAAATATTCACACAACAAAGATGTAAATCATAATTCTCACCTTGAATGACAGCAAAACCATTCACAGAACAAAAACCATTCACACAACAGATATAAATCATAATTCTCACCTTGAATGACAGCAGAGGAACTTGGATCAAGCATAGCCGATGCTGCGGCGTCCTCCGTCTTTGCTGGTGAACCTCCAAGTAGATCAATTGTCCCACTTTCTTCAGCCGAAGGCGGTGGCATTCGATCAGGAAGGTTATCCAATGAGATTAGAGTATCATCATCATCGTTCCCAGTTTCTCGGACTTCAGAGCCTTCCTCCTCAACTTTCTTAGAATTCTCATCTTTCTCATCCACGTGTGTCGCTTCTGCAACACGTTCCTCTTTGATCCCCTCTATCCCTCCCTCACCTTCATCTTCATCGTCTACGTCATTTTCCCGCGTATAAGAATCATCAGGAATGATATGCTTCAGCATTTGAAACTGGTACGAGGGATGGCCTCGGAATTGCTCGTAAACCTTCGTGAGTGAATTCGAGGTGTTCTCCCAGAACTTGAGCAAGCTCTGTTGATAAGCAACCAGCGTGGCAGAAAGGAGATTACAGCGACTGGCGGAAAGTAAGTCCACTTTTTGGACCACGTCAACTTTACACTTGTCAAATTTCTTCTTCGTAACTTTCACTTCGGATTGCACCTGTTGCGAATATATCGTTTATTGAGAGTTTAGTCAGTTGGTTTATTGGTGAGCGGATTTTTCCAAAAAAATTGCCCAATTGATGGGGGATTCGAGTAGTGTACGCAAAAGTCTAACCATTTACTGATGTCAATGTAAAGGTAGCTCTTTCTCCTCAATTCTTTAAGACCTTGAGTCGAGGTCCGAGCACAAGTATTGATTTTAAACAATCTATAATTCTCGTTCTTCTTTGCAATACGGTAACAAAAAAATAACATCCAAAAATAGAAAAGAGCTGTTTCAAAAGAGCTGTTGCACAAAATTCCGAATTGTCAAAAATTAGTGACGAATGGATCAGAACAAAGCGACAAAGTCAGAGCAAAGAAAAGCAGTACAAAGCATTGTATAAACTGGAAAATGTACACTACATGTATAAGCAAAGTTTTCTACCGACGGACGAAAAAAGTCCAAAACGAAATGAATGGTATACATCGTACACATTAGTTGACAATGCACTTTTGGTTCGAACCAAGCACAGGCCAGCACATGCAAAGAATTTATCCAATCAAAGTCAAATAAAATGCAGCGTGTGAAAATCGTATTGCACGTATATAACTAAAGTCAGAAAACATGCAGCCTCACGCTTTGAATGCAAGCTTCTTGGATAGATATATCATTTTTCTGGGATATGAGAAGTATATGATATACACTTTATGTATGGTTTATTTGCTAAAAATCTTGGTAAGATTTTATAGCTAAAAGGTTCGATAACAAATTTAAAAAATTGCCGTTCTATATATTTGTCAAGAAATCTTGTTTAATTATTATTCCTCAAATTCATTTTTTGTTGGATTTTGATTAATAAAGACAATTCTGTTACGAGTATGTGTTGTTTGGAAGACGCTAAATTAAAGTGGTATTTAATGTGACCTTACCTCTCTGTATTTATCTAACTTTCTATAAGCCTCAGGGTCAAGCTCTTTGGATATGTCAGCCATCCACAGTAAAGCTGCCCGGTACTCACTTCTCAAAGCTTCCATACGATTCACAGTCTGCCAGGTGTCTCCGACAGCTCTATGTCGGAACGTCTCCACTTCTTGATAAAGACGAACCAGCGGCACGCGTAGGGTCAACCTAAGTAGAGAACACAATGTTTCATCAAGCACTGAAAGTTGCAAGATGTGGTGTTTCCCATTTGAGCTCTGAATAGGTTTTGTGGTGAAGCAAAACATACATCCTCTGACAAGTATACCGGTAGTATATAATCTTATACTAAAGACTGGAGAGCAATCAGGCAACTGGATACCTCTTCCATTCTCCATCAGGTGCCCCAATGTAAAACCTGTCAGCTCATAAATTCTGCTACCACCATTTCAGAACCATGTCAAGCACCATTTTCATGTGTACCTCCTCCCATCTCATCTACTGCATGAGATGCAGATATATTTCATCTCATTTGCTTACCACAACTCATATATCCTAGATCATTTAATTGACTAAATACGTTTATACTTGAAATGTAAATCCAAGTTTACTGTAGTAAAATAGACAAGTTTAAAAACACTAAAAATGTATATCATGAAAACATCGATTTTTATAATATGACTCATATGAGACATTGCCATTTTGGCGGTTCAATGAATAAAAATGGCAGGCTAAAAATTTGTTTCACCTGCCAAATAATTTTAGACTGACAGGTCATATTTTTTCTTACTTCGAGCCCTGATACAAACCCTGTTAAAAACATAACCTCTTGGCAGAGGTAAAACAAGACTGAATCGCTGGTTGCCTAACTACCAGATAGACACACATAACAAACTGGCCAACATACTGACTTGCTTACCGTTGTTGTGCAGTATAACTGAGTGCCTTTCCAACACTGATCATCATTTTACCAGCTTTAGTTTTATCAACAGAACCTTTCTCACGTAAAAATCGACCACATTCATTCTCCTCTTGGGATAAGGCTGCAGGGAAACAAATCAGAAGTATTTACAGCAATTCTCAAAGCAAATCGTTAACCAGGAATTAGTAGAATGACGGCTTTTTGCATTTTAATATTGACCGCTTCTCAAACAATGGCAGTTTTTGGAGAAAGCCTGCCTCATACGAGAGAAACTTGCTGAGGTCTTAAGGAAAATATACATTGTGTTTCATATTTTTTGGCTCGCAAGGAAAAATCTCAATGTCTGAGGATGTTGCAAGCTTAGTGCCGAGCTGTTTGAAGCCATAGTTTCTGCATGTGACTTTGGTTAAAATGGCAAGAATGGAGGAAATGCAAACAATCTTATCAATGATGTTGCTGTTGAGTGGTTTTTCCAACATGTGTGGTGAAAATACATAGCTAAGCTAACCGCCACACGCGGTGGTTAGCTCAGCAAGTTTCTCTTGTGTGTGGCAGGTTTTACAATGATGCATCATCATACACGAACATATTCTGATCATTTTGTTCACAATAACTCCTGCAGTACCACCTACCAAATATTTTCTTTTGATAAACCTCCACAGCCCTCAAGAGATCAATACACGTCTTCTGAATCTGTCGAAATGCTTCAAGCCTTGCATCAACCTCCGCGTCACCAGCGACTACATACTCATCTTGATGTTTTCCTAATCTCTCGATCATTGTCTGCTTGCCCTTCCAATATTTCTGCTGAACCTTGCCTTTGAACGAGTCCGCTGGTCTGCGGTATTCACGGTAGTTGAAGCCATTAGCACTCGGTTCTGCCAGGCTTTCATCATCAGGGTAGTCCAATGGTCGATCGTAACTATAGCGACACACAGGACACATTAAGAACGTAATGATACATTGAATATTATTACATAGGATTTTTTTACCAGGCCTAACCAGAATTTCCACACATATTAATACCTTTCGTCAGGATCTTGAGGCACATGTTGATACGAGTCTCCCATGATGATAAATTTGTCCAAAAACTACCTGCAATGATATATTACAAGGGTGGATTTTCATATTTTTGAAAGGAGAGGTGGAAAAAATTCTAGTGCCCAGGTGCAAGCGGCACCACTTAGCGAGCTTCGGCAGGGGTTAGGCTTAGGGTTAAAGACTTTCACACACAATAGGAGGCGTGAAGCAAAATTTTGGTGGGGTTGAACACTTTATAAGAGGTGCTAGAGAGATTCTAAGAGGCGTTTAACCCCCCCCCCCCCTAGTAAATCTGCCAATGATATATTAGTAGTAGTATATGAACTATAGAGGAAGTAATTCACAGTTGAATTTCTCCTTGTATTTTTCAGATTGTTGCATCTAACAACGAAAGGTTGTTATTATTGCCGCTATCTACACTGACAAAGACTGTTCAAGATTAAATCATATTTTTTACATCTTTCCTTCTCATAGGAAAAGTTGACAGGGTGGGTTAGGATAAACACAGTTACGAAAGTAATATCACAATTGTTGTAAAGATAAAATAAGTCTACATAGCTAAAAACGACCAGGTTGTTGCAATATTGATGAAAACAGGATTGAACAATGTTTTGCTGCCCACATTGTTCACAGTTGTCAACAATATTGAACAATATTGTTACACCCGATTCAGGCTCAACAATATTGTTCAATATTGTTGACAAATGTGAACAATGTGGGCCGCACAACATTGTTGAGATTATCTATAGTGCGAGCTGCGAGTTGCGAGTTACGAGTATATTGTTAATTTCTAATAACATCGGGTTTAATTTTAACCCAGGGTTAACACTAACCTAGCTTTGAAGCACCGAACCAGGTGTTTACACCTGTGGTTTACACTAAAAATTCAAATTAAAAACTGTATGGCATCCTGGCGGATGTGATTTTAGCTTTGTCTCAATTTGGCGCCAATTTTCAGCTTTTGAAATAAACATTCATTGCATTTATTTTTATACTTACAAACTTGTAAATAGCAATCGTTTTGATATACTGATGGTTTTTTCCCGTGTTTAGATAAAGTTTATGTATGTATATGTATGTCTATGTATGTCTATGTATAAATTGTATAAAATAAATTGTACTTCCGATGAAAAGGACTTGAGTTTTATAGGGTTCCCAGCGTTCAGTATATATAAACAAACTGAGTCGGTGTCTGGTCATACTTACTAATAAAATTAAATAACCATTTTAAGATTAGAAAGCACAAATGGTCTGGATAACTACTAGATTTAATTAAACACAGAAACGGCAAATATAAACTTGCACTTTTATTTTCAATATAATTATTTTAATTCTTGAACATACGTACCGATGGATCTAACAAAGTAAACAAACAAGTAAAGGCCGATTTTCATCTCGACCGTATCGTAGCATTTTCTTAAGTGTCGAAGTCATTAAGTGGTCAGGAAACAAAGAAATACGCTACGCTTCGCTACGATACGGTTGAAGTGGAAAACCGGCTTAAAGTGCACGGAAAACGTGTTGAAACGAATTTAGTTACAGGGAACTTAACTTCGGAGGTCATTAATATTTATGAAACAAAAACCCTTCGACTTTGCCTTCCATGTCGTCCATATTAACATACTTTCAAAGCAACAATTCAAAGCGAGGCTAACGACTCGCAACTCGCAGCTCGCAAAATAGCCGACCCCCAGCCTAGACCTAGGCCTTCTATTTTTATTTATATTTTTTTTAATATTCAGCGCTTTTTCATATGAAAAAACTGGGACTAGGTGATTTGGGGGCGCCCCCAAATCACCTAGTCCCAGTCTTTTCATGTGAAAAAGCGCTGAATATTAAAAATATATAAATAAGACTAGAAGGCCTAGGTCTAGGCTGGCCGACCCCCACAAAATAGAATATTAATGAGCTGCCTAATAAACCCAGTTTATCCTTTTCAAAATGGCGGCCTTTCGTGGAGTGAGTGGATAAAATGTTTCAAACAATTTCGTTAAAATTTTCAACGAATTGTACCTGTTTTCTATGGAGTACTATAGATTTTGCATTGTGTCTAACTCTGGACATTCTTGCTAGTTTAGTTAATGCATTTTTCTTGGTTCACGACTCTGAAAATCCGAAATTTGGATCTCAGTTGAATTCCCGTGCACGATCATAATATACTGAATCTGAATATAAACGAGCCAAAGACAATTTCAAGGTAAAAGGTTTTAATTTACTACACAACGTAGTTTTAATAGATAATTACTTAATGAGAAGCATATTGGTGTCATATCAATATTAAATTGATGCAACAACAGTCCCTATTAACGGACCTAATAGTTAGCTGTGGAAACGTAAAAACTTGAGTGAAATATTATATGACATGGTATTTGTAACGCCTATTGAGTAATGGCGCAATAAGGATAAAAATACCATCGTTTGATCAGCGTAAGAAATTGTACTTACGGATGTCAAATGTATTACTATGAGTATTTAACAACAGTATTCTAGCGATTTATGGCCTTTGAAAATCAAGCGAAATTGTATTGTTGACAAATCGCTCACAGTACGTATTGACCACTATTGTTGACAAATCACTCGCAGTATACATTTGTCCTTGTATCTGTAATGCCCAATTCCAATGGCGCAATAAGGATAACCGTTCGATTCAGCGTATAAACAACCGTTCGATTCAGCGTAAGAAATTGCACTTATGGATGTCAAATGTATTACTAAACAACAATATTCTAGCGATTTATGGCCTTTGTCTTTGAAAGCCAAGCGAAATCATTGTTGACAAATCGCTCAAAATTATTAAACTAATTATAAAAAATACAGTACGTATGATCCTTGATAACTTTGGTATCGTTGGTTTTCTCTTTTTCAGCCGTATACCAGTGGATTCGTCTCACTTCTCTCTTCATTTTGATAGTATTTTGAGCCCCCAAATATTTTATTTTGATCCTAGTGTACGAACCAAATATAGCTTTACTTCTAGGCAGAAACGCCGGAAGTTTTATTTGTAAGGTCACCGCATTTTCTGTGTCTGTTCTATAAAATCCTGACCTGGGGCAGGTTGTATAAAAAAAGTGATTAAAGTTAAATATAATTAGTGGAAACGTCATCCAATAAGAAGCGCGTATTTGAGAGTTAATCACTATTTAATTACAAAATAGTGATTAAATTAAGAGTTTTATACAACCGGCCCCTGGGGTCATTACTAACAAAAACTTCAAAACTGAGGCACCTACCTGGGGCCGGTTGTATAAAACACTTAATCACTTTTTTAATCACCATTTTGTAGTTAAATAGTGATTAACTCTCAAATAGGCGCTTCTTATTGGATGACGTTTGCACTTAACCATAGTTAACTTTAATCACTTTTTTATACAACAGGGTTGGTAGGTTTGCTGAATACTGATTAGGCCAAACACTGTCACACTAGTCCTTTGTTTCCTTTGTCTTGGCCTTTTGTTTTCTTTGTTTTCTAAACGGCACTAATGACGATTTGGCCTGATTATTCGTCTAACTTACCAACCCTGTTATACAGGGTGTCTCAAAAAAAACGCTACCCTTGGAAATTCACCATTGTTCTAATTTGAATGCTTGTAATTTAAGACAATAAATACTCTTTGCTCTGTGCTCAGTTGAGCCATTTGCTTGACATTCACTAATATGTGATTGAACGATTTTCGTGCAGTTATACTTTTGTATGAACCTACTTTCCAGTGGCGTAGCCAGCCTGACTATTTGCTCCTGCTATGCAAATATTTATGTGTTCATAGACTGTGAAAACAATGAATTTCTAAAGAAATGAATAATGATAATGCTTTGAAATTTACATAGCAGGAGTAAATTTCCAGGCTGGCTACGCTACTGCTACTTTCAATTCCCAGGATAAACAATTTCGCTTTTCAAGGATATTTTAATTCCGAAGATCTTTAATATATGCATCCTGTGAAAATGTTTACGCATTCATGGCTTCAACAAGCTTCAGGCATTCAAATTAGAACAATGGTGAATTTCTAGGGGTAGCGGTTTTTTTGAGACACCCTGTACAGGGTGTATAAAAAAAACGCAACCTCGGAATTTCCTAAGAAATCACTTTGCAATTCTTAAGCATAAAAGATTTTACACCCCTGGGAATTGAAATCGAATTGCTAATTGATCATATTACTGTTGTTGCATGTGCATTAAATAAATGCATAAATTTTGCTTTATGCACTCGCGTGTGCAGTAATTTTGACAGTTGTGCTATTTTAAATTCCCAGGCGCCTAAAATCTTTTGTCTTTAAAACAATGTCGATTTCTTGGGAAATTCCGAGGTTGCGTTTTTTTTATACACCCTGTACAACCGGCCCCTGCAATACAAACCTAACGAATTTGAGAGCGGCAGCACTCTCCCCTTAATTGACAAGCAAAATTGACCGGCATGAGACATTAAAAGAATATGCCATCAAACTCGTACCCAGGGTATTACCTGAGCGAAGGTAATACCCTGGGTACGAGGTTGGTTACGAGCAGGGGCGGCGGAACATATTTTATTTTTTGGGGGGGGCTAAATTTTTTGGGGGGATTAAAATTCCCCCCTCCCCGTCGCCACTTTTTTTCGGACATACACCAAAAAAATTTTTTCGGACACATGCAAAAAAGGCGCTGAAAAAAATTTTTCCGGACCTATAAACAAAAAATTTTTCCGGACATACACATTTTTTAAACAAAATATTGCAAAATTTTCCCCTTATACCTAAATTTTCCAAAAATATCCTAAATTTTTCCTTAATTATCAAAATTTTTCCAGAAAAAACAAAATTTTCTGGGGGGGCTAACCCCCCCCCACTTTTACTTCTGGGGGGCTTTAGCCCACCCCTAGCCCCCCTCGCCCCCCTGTTCCGCCGCCACTGGTTACGACTCGTAACCAGTGGCGGCGGAACAGGGGGGCGAGGGAGTCGTAACCAGTGGCGGCGGAACAGGGGGGCGAGGGGGGCTAGGGGTGGTTACGAGGTTGGTGCGGTACGAGGTTGCATTGCCATTGGGGCAAAATACATATAATCTGTGTCAAATACTGTAAACAATA